CTTTCTATATAACGGGTTATATAACCATTTTGCTATACATATATTTTTTTACAAAGAAGAAACACTTACTGTACAGAGACATCTCAAAGGTAAATAAACACCATGATTTTTGTCAATAGTTATTTATCTCACATTATCAACTTGACAAAAATGTTTAGAAATGTGCATCAGTACTTAGTCGATTTGCCACTAGCATTTTTCAGTGCTTTGACTCGTTCTGTCATGGAATCGATGAGTCATTTTTCAGTGCTTTGACTCGTTCTGGCATAGAATCGATGAGTCATTTTTCAGTGCTTTGACTTGTTCTGGCATAGAATCGATGAGTTCTGCAATTTTCTGCTATAGGATCTTGACCCAGGCTGCACGGAAAACATCAAGTAGGTCTCCACGGGACGCTGGTTTTTTGGAACTTCTTGTCACTGTTCGAGCAAGTATGGCCCAGACATGCTCGATGGGGTTCATATCAGGTGACTGACTTGGCCATGGGAGCCGTTGGATGCCTTTCTTAATTAAATGACTCTATTGAATAAACATCATGGTGTCTATTTACTTTTAATATTAATCCACACTATTTTCATTGTAGAAATAAGGCGTGTTATTGTATCATTTGGATTCATAGATCTCAGATAATTAACATGGTTGCTAGTAAACAAGTATCCCTCTCCAAGTGGCTCAGCGGTAAGCTTGGGGGCTTATAATACTAAAATTCGAGGTACGATTCCTATGGTGGGCACAGTGCGAATATCTCATTGTGAAAGTTTACGTTTAACACAAACAGACAGCTAAACACGTAATAAAAACTACTATTTAGATCTGGGTTCGTTTTTTTATTACATATATGGCTTACTCTTCTGTTACAATGTATGTAAATACAAATGCTTGTAAATGCATGTGTTTGATTTGAAGAAAATAAGTTAACGTTATATGTTTAGTAAACATCCTATTTTGTTTACTACTAAATGCCCCCCAGTAGCACAACGGTATGTATGCGGACTTACGACGCTAGAAATCAGGTTTCGATACCCCTGGTTGGCAGAGCACAGATAGCCCATTGCGTAGCTTTGTGCATAAATTCAAACAAACAATTACTACTAAATAAATATATATATATGTGTGTGTGTGTATCATTTTTAATAATAAACCTATAGCCCAAAAATAAATGGTAAAAGTTTTGAGAATAAATATTGACCCTTCTTAAAAATGAGTTGAATATACTCTATAAATTTTAAAAACGTGGAATTTATTTCGGGAAAACAGTGAAAGACACATGTACTTTTAATATTA